GCCACCAGGGAAGCCCTGTTGCTTCATTTTTTATTGTCATTGAAATGGTAATACATTTTCATTGATATTTTGGTGTAGTTTCATGGGGGAAGAGGAGATAGATGCATATGTTCCATCTGCCATCTTAAAATTGGAGTTCTTCCTTTGAGGCCTGGGTAACTTAATTTTATGGTTGTAATTCAAATGACAAGTGAAATGTGTAAATTTAAAATCAGTTCGTTTGAAAAAAATATTGAATGAAAGAAAGGCTGATTAAGTCTATCTTAATAACCAAATAGGTAATGTACGTTGTAATAATGCATTTTTTGAATTTTATTTGTGTAGAAGAAATTGAGGAAGAATCTGAAACAACAGTTGAGGCTGACTTGACGGATAAACAGAAACATCAGTTGAAACATAGGGAGCTCTTTTTGTCTCGCCAATACGAATCTCTGCCTGCAACACATATCAGGTAAGAACTTTTTAGAAGTTGATCTGAAGTACTCAGTAATATTGTGACAATTGGGAAAAACAAACAAACAAACTAAAACAACCTTTTTGAAGCATTTTCCAAACTCTCCCCAACAATCTTGCTCAAATTAGTTCACTAAAGGCTTCATTATGTAATCTTATCTTGGAAATTTATAGTGTATATTAGCATTTTAAAGCCCTGCAAATGTTCTGTAGTAAAGTAACCATGTTAGCTTTGTTTTAGTCCAGACTTTTCCAGTTTATTTAAGTATGTATTAGCATCTTGCAGAACAGTGTCCAGCAGATACCATTTTGGGAAATGCTGGTCTTCTCCAGATTCCCAGAAAAGAATATAGTCATTGGAGTCCAAGAACTAGAACCTGGTTCTAGATCTGGTTCCCGGCACTTGTCTCTTGACCTTGTAGGATACAAGGCTTTTGATTTATTTATTTATTTTTGAGGTCCTCTGGGATGAAAACTTTATATTCTTTATTACTTACTCACTCACTTGTATCTGATCTGTGTAATGATGGGATGTAAAAGTGAAATCCAGTCCCTGGTTTGTAGTTTTGGGAGAATGTTGGTGGTCTTTTTGATCCGGTAGCGGTAAGATTTAAGCATAGATACAATTGAGCTCTTTCTGAGTGCTGTCTGTAATAGGTGCATTTTGGAGGTATAACAAAATGTTTGAACTCAAAAACTTCAGATGGAGTTGGCATTTACTCAGCCTTCGAGAGATTGGGGGGCATGTTTCAGGTAAAGGGAACAGGTAAGCATGGGTGTGTGCAGGGAACAGCCTGTGTCCAGGATGCAGTGTTTTTGTCCCCTAACGTTAAAGGAATTCCTTCAACTGTTGTTCACAATCTTTACTTCTTTTATTCAACTCCTCACTAGTTATTATTGTCTTAAAAACTGTTTATATATGGAAATAAAATGTATTAACTGTTTATTTAAAAAAAAATTGGCCCCTCTTCTTTAGCCGTGAATGTTGGTATTGTATCTAAGTCTGTCTTTTTTGGGCTCAGACATGTTTGGAGACTTCCTGAAGCTCCAGTTTGGTCTTTGTAACACAAACACACATGCCCCAACTCCCCGGACCTTTGTGTATTCTTATACTTCTCTTTTCAGAAATGGACACAGAGATCTTCTGAGACAGGAAGTGTATCACAAAGATACCAGAATCACCTTTCTCCAAATCTTTTCAGAGATAACTTGATCCTCCTCAGTAGTTAACATCATATCATTGCTTTATTTAGGTTTTTTTGGGGACACTGTGTTTATTTTTGTTTCAGAATTGCCTTTAGTAGTATAAAATTGAAAGTAAATGTCCATTAGTAGGGAATTGGTTAAATGAATTATGATACAGCAACTACAACAGAATATTAGATTTCTGTTGTTATAGAAGAATTCTATTGTATGTTGATAACTAGAAAATAATCAAATTCAAGAAAGTATGTAAAAATGGGGACACTGTGTTTAGATTGGCTAGAGTTAGTATGTTCTGTGTGACTTACGTCCTGTGTTAGAAAAGATAATCAGGCCAGATAATGTGGGAATAGTATTTAACCTAAAAATAAGGGTATTTCAAGAAATAAGAAAATTGTTTTAAAGATATAGGTAACTAATAAATGCTGAAGAGCCATATGCATTTATCATTTAATTGGAAGAAGCTAGAATATAAAGATTCATTTTAAGCTCAAGAAGTTATGTGGCCAGTCATAAGACTCTTGCCAGAACAAGAATCTGACAAATGGTTTTAAAAATGTATCCAAAACACGCAAGTATATTTTTAATTTACCCTCCTGATAGCTTGGAATCTGTTTATAAGTAATGTTGGTTTCCTTTAACAGATTGCTTGGAATGGAAAAACTAGTGAAGTATTTTTCATGTTTCATAAGGGCTGAGAGAGTATATTGAAATGTAATTATCAAGACACCCCTTTGTTGAACATAGAAATTACATAGAATATACGATCATTCAGTCATGTTGCACACATTTCCTGAGTATATTCTCAATTAGGGAGCTTGCTAACTGCTTGATAAATAAGACAAGGTTCCCCAGCTTGTAAACTTCAGGAGTTTACCTGGTGGCAATTATTTTGAATTATGAGGAAGAGATATAGACATTTGAAGCATTTGTTTTTTTTAATTTTTTTGTTCTCCAAGCTGAGAGGGAGTAGTGTGGAGGCATATTTTCTCATTTATGGCTCTCATTTTCAAACAGCTGAATGGATTTAGGGGCAGTCTCCAGCCAAAGCACAAAGCTGTGCTAACCAGCCCTCATGCTGATGTAGAACAAGTGCACATTAGGGTGATCTTGACATTTTGCTAACGTTGAAGTCATGCCCTATTTATCTGTGCTTTAACAGGAGAAAATTACTGAAGTCCCATTGTTCTTTGGCAGCAAAGAGGGGTAATTTGATGAATACTGGCTTTTTGTTCTTAGGGGCATTATTAAGTGCCCAGAATTTCCTTGGTGCTGTATGGAACAGAGGAGAAAACCTGACTGAGGCATTCCTGAGGTCCTTTGTAGTTTGTGAGCTATAATACTAACTGGGTGCTACAAGCTTCCCAAAGTGGCAGGGAGGCAACTCTTCCTTCCTTCTGATTTCATTGGAAGAGAATGAATAGGACCAGGACTTTTCTGGGTAGAGTTAGTGATTCAGCTCTTGTTGAGGATTTGTTTGTATCTATCTTGTTAGGATAGATAGGATTTGAACATGAGAATTCCTTTGGAACACTTTGTGGGGTGAAGGGGAGAGACAGCATGCTTCTTGCACAGTGCCTTAGGTCATTAATAATAGATTATATGCTGCGTGGGCTATAAAGCACTATAAAATTTATTGTTATGCCAGGTGCTAGACCTGTCACTTTGTGTGTGTGTGTGTTTGTGTGTGTAGAATACTGTGTTCAGTTATATAGAGCCCATGTTTATTGAACTTGGCTTTTAAAAATTCTAACATTTATTGAACCTTCGTGATAGGTGTTATTTCAGTTGCTTTACATGTATTTTATTTGATCTTCCCAATGACTTTATAATGTAGGTCCTCTTATCCTCATTTTACAGATGAGGAAACTGAAACAAAAAGGTTAAGTTTTCAGTCTCACGGCTTTTAAATGACAGATTCAGATCTTGAACTCAGATCACGTGGCGGCAAATATACAAATATTATGATATATCAAGCTTTCACATGGAGGGCTAAGCAGAGTCAACATCAAGCTTTCACATGGAGGGCTAAGCAGAGGATAGGAAATCTTTTGTGTACATATTTTTTGTCACCAAACGAAATGAATTTATAAAGCATATATAGCAACCATGAGAAAGGGAGAAACGGAAAAGTTTCTAGCCAACAAGAGGTATTTGGGGGATGGAATACTGAAGTTCTTGTCTTAACACTCAGTGTTGATGAGGGTGGGGAAATAGATAACTCTTCTATATTTGAATGTTAATATAATCAGAGAAATCAAACTTTAATGTGTGAATATCCTTTGACCCAGCAATTCCACTTTTTTGATTTTATCTAACAGAGGTTCTCATGCAAGTGTGTAGAAATATATATACTGATATGTTTATTGCAGAATTGTTTTGTTTTATTTTTTTAGTTAAAGATTTTTTGCAAATAAATGAGGTCATTTTCATTCATAGATAGGAGTCAGCATCACAAATGTAAGTAGGAACTTGGTATTTGATAGATTTCAGGATTGCACTACTCTCAGAAAATGCAAGCAACTTTCATATTTATTCTTTTCTATATTTCTACTTTTCTCTGAAATGAAAGCACATTAGATATATAATGGAAAAAGTATTATTTAAAAGTTTGTCTTAGAGGAAAACATAGGCAGGACACTCTATGACATAAATTACAGGAAGATCCTTTTTGACCCACCTCCTAGAGAAATGGAAATAAAAACAAAAATAAACAAATGGGACCTAATGACACTGCAAAGCTTTTGCACAGCAAAGGAAACCATAAACAAGACCAAAAGACAACCCTCAGAATGGGAGAAAATATTTGCAAATGAAGCAACTGACAAAGGATTAATCTCCAAAATTTATAAGCAGCTCATGCAGCTTAATAACAAAAAAACAAACAAACCAATCCAAAAATGGGCAGAAGGCCTAAATAGACATTTCTCTAAAGAAGATATACGGACTGCCAACAAACACATGAAAAAATGCTCAACATCACTAATCATTAGAGAAATGCAAGTCAAAACTACAATGAGATATCATCTCACACCAGTCAGAATGGCCATCATCAAAAAATCTAGAAACAATAAATGCTGGAGAGGGTGTGGAGAAAAGGGAACCCTCTTACACTGTTGGTGGGAATGTAAATTGATACAGCCACTGTGGAGAACAGTATGGAGGGTCCTTAAAAAACTACAAATCAAACTACCATATGACCCAGCAATCCCACTACTGGGCATATACCCTGAGAAAACCATAATTCAAGAAGAGTCATGTACCACAATGTTCACTGCAGCTCTATTTACAATAGCCCGGAGGTGGAAACAACCTAAGTGTCCATCATCGGATGAATGGATAAAGAAGATGTGGCACATACATACAATGGAATATTACTCAGCCATAAAAAGAAATGAAATTGAACTATTTGTCATGAGGTGGATAGACCTAGAGTCTGTCATACAGAGTGAAGTAAGTCAGAAAGAGGGAGCCAAATACCGTATGCCAACACATATATATGGAATTTAAGAAAAAAAAATGTCATGAAGAGCCTAGGGGTAAGACAGGAATAAAGACACAGACCTGCTGGAGAATGGACTTGAGGATATGGGGAGGGGGAAGGGTAAGCTGTGACAAAGTGAGAGAGTGGCATGGATATATATACACTACCAAATGTAAAATAGATAGCTAGTGGGAAGCAGCCACATAGCACAGGGAGATCAGCTCGGTGCTTTGTGACCACCTAGAGGGGTGGGATAGGGAGGGTGGGAGGGAGGGAGACTCAAGAGGGAAGAGATATGGGAACATATGTAT